TACTATAAAAACTAATACTAATTCTGATGGGAATAATAGCTCATTATTTGCGGAAAAGTTACTTTTGTCCAAACCTTCCTTTGTAAGGGGTATCGCATATGTACTGAAAACACTCACTAATTCAGTATTGGACACACGATAGGGTTTATTCATTAAATCACAAATTAACATGACTACTGTACCACTCAAGATTTGGCATAATGTTATTAAAAATATCTCAAATAATTACTCAATAATAACAATTTCTTTAATTAAAATTTTAATTTTCATATTTTATATAATTAGCATTACCTTAATTTTAATTAATAGTATTATATAAAAATTAAATTTAGCAACTTTTTTTATTCAAAAGTAAATCAAAGGCTTTATTAAATCCTATATAGTGTTGTTGTTTAACATAAAAAATAATAAATGATTTGTTTGTTATAGATTTACAACATTTGTATTCAAAAATATAATAAAATTTTTATTTAAAATGTATTTGACTTTTGTTTCTCAATAGAGATTCTCGAGAGATATTTGCTCTCAATTGTCGACAATATGTGTAAAGAAATTGAATATACAATAAAATTTTGTTTTGATTTGATTTGTTTGCTTTTTAAATATTTGCTGTCTTTCTATTCAATTCTCAGATGTATTTTCACCAGACCTTGTATTTGAGATGAAATGCAACTCAAAATATGGGCTTAACTTATTGAGAGAGAAATTGAATAACATTTGTTTTGTGAGTTTTATTTTTAAAATTACTTTCTAAAAATCCCAATAATTTGAATATTTAATGAACTTTTTGGAAATCCGATAAACTCGTGGTTCGGGAGTGGGTGGGAACGAGTCCTTCCCAAGACTAGTCTCTATTTTGTATCCAATTACTAATTTATGTCATAATGAATTTGTGTTGACTAAATAGAAATTAAAAATTTATAACAAAAACTTGTCATTCAATTAATAGTGTTTGTTTGCTGTAACCATAGAATGACATGTCTTATAATAGTTTATTTCAAAAGATTAGCATTTTCTAATAAATTGAAAATTTAATTATGAAGGTACCGAATATATTGAGTTAATTATATTAAAATTATATATAGCTTTGAATTCAAGTAAATTAGCTTTTTTAAAAACAACTTTCATTTTTACAGTATATTTTAAACTCATTTTGTATAGAGTCAACTTTCTTTTAATATTTTAGTTTGAACTCAAAATTTGTCATTTTTGTTAAGTTATTTAATTTAAATGACTTTCATTTTTGCAGTCAAAATTGTGAAACATAATTTTAGCATAAAAAATATATAACTATTTTGTGCATCAAATTAGGTAAATTACTTAAATTATTAAAAAGTAATTGATTAAAATTTTATAAACTTATAATAAGATTACGTATAGCAAATAAATACTGTATATATAAAAAGCTCAATCAATGAGATGTTGAATAGAAAATGAAATAAAATCAATATAAACCCGAGTCGTGAACTGAATTACAATTTGTTGATGAGATTGGTTCACAACAAGCCTCCAAACTGTTCACACTTTTCGGAAATTAAAAATTTGCAAAAAGTTTTTTATTTTTAGAAAAATCAGTTTTTGTACAGTATATTGACAATAGGGTTTGAATTATCAGTGGAATATACTATAAATTGCATTCAATTTGCTGTATTCAATAGATTCAAACAATTAAAATACAAGGTTTCTGAAATAGATTTATATTTTTAAACTTATTGTGTATTCCTTTGTATTCAATAGGTTATAACAACTCTTATTTTCTTTCATTAATTAATTTTATATTGAATTTCATATGATTTATTAATTCTAATATAGTATTTATAAATTAATTTTTTGTATTATATAATAATAAAAATTGTGTAAATACAATATATTGGCAAAAGTCTATAAACATAAATAATTTTGTGTTGATTTAAGTACTATTGAACCAACTTACAGTATCGACTAATAAAATATGAATTATTCATTTATTTGCATACAAAATGAACCAGTTCTGAATTATTCTGATCCTAAAACAAATTATTCAATATATCACTCATAAACATACATATATTTTAGTGAAATTGAATTAATTTACACCAAAAATTTGATATAAGTTAAGTTAAAGGAAAGCATTGATTATGATTTTATTAATATTATCTCTATTTAAAAGAAAGTTATATAAAAGTTAGTTTATCAAGACATACAATATATTTTATGTAGATTTAGGACTAAAACTAAGTTAAAGTCCATAGTTTTCAGTGAATCGTAACCTTTTTTGTTAAGATTGAAACTCTATGATGAGTTATATGGTGTTGGAAGTGATAACACGCCTGTATTCACAACATTTCACTGCATTTCTTATTGACAAATATTTCTCTCGCAAACACAATAAGTTTTCACTTCTAATCAAGTTTTTAGAAAATATTGAATTTTTGTGAATAATACACTGCTCTTCATATGATGGATGAGATTTCATACGAGAAGTTCATTCCTCACCGACAATAAGGAAATTGAAATCCATTATAATCTCCTCTTCAATCAGTTTTGCTTTATTATATGTTNGAATTTTTGTGAATAATACACTGCTCTTCATATGATGGATGAGATTTCATACGAGAAGTTCATTCCTCACCGACAATAAGGAAATTGAAATCCATTATAATCTCCTCTTCAATCAGTTTTGCTTTATTATATGTTTCTTGTGTTATATGTTTCGCACAAATTATAACAATTGTTATTATTTTCTCAAATCTGCAACAAATTTAACTGCTTATATAAAATAAATAATTATTTTCTATTTCTACTTAACAGTTTACTCAACTATATCAGTATCGATTTATTATTAGTTTATAATATTAGATTAAAATACTACGCTAATAATAGATTTGATATTAATAAATCAAATCATAGCTAAAATTTTAATCAAGTATTTGACTTAAATAGCCTTACTTATTTTTTATCAATAGTCTGAGATTTAGATTATTGAGATTTTGTAGAAAAGTGACTCTTTTTTATTAAATTTTGCATTTTGTCAAAAGTTTGTTGTATTTTTGCGATGAGAGACAACTCATGGGATGCCTGTCCTGCGAATTGAGTGTTGAAGACAGGTATGGATTGAGTCGTAAGTCTCGACACAATTTTGTGTCAAATGATAAAAAATGCGTTACTAATAAATCATCAAATTTTTTGATTGATATCACAATGTTTTCATTGGAATAATCGATAATTCAAAGGGCGAGTGATTAATGTATTTCCTATAATTCATGTCATCTTCATATCGTACGAGACATGAAGTGATCTGTGAATTGAGTTTCAATTTGTTTGTATTGAAGACATAATATGAATGAAAAGTAATGCATAAAACTTATGAGTCGTTTGTATGGGTATTGCATTCATACGATTATTGAAATGTTTGCTTTTCATTCAAATCAAATTCTTTATGTTAAATTAAAAAGTTTTTTGTTAACAGAAATAAAATATTTTTATTGTAAACTCAGTATTTCTTTGGGGGTTATTTTAATGCAAGTTTTGTTATGAAAACGCGAAATAAATGAAACATCAAATAGTTGTAGATTACAATACACTTTTTTTTATTAAAATATAACTTATTGTACAATAATTTAACAAAGGGTTTTCTTTTTAATAATATCTTATAACTTATAAGTAACACTTTTTAAATGTAATATTATTATATCATTAATATAACAACACGGCTTATATATTACAGTATTTACATAGTATTTATAATGTAAATAAAATTTTGTTTATTATTATTTTTACTTAATAATTTTATTAAATCGTATTATAAGTATATACTGTATGTAATTTGTATTATTAATAATGAGATCAAAATAAATTCTCATTCATTGAATATTTTCCTAATTATATAATTAGACTCCGAATTGATATAAAAACGCTATAATTGAATGTCTTTATCCCAACTGTTAATAACTAACTCGATATTAGTTGATCCCAAACATCCATTACCATTACAATTGGTTTGTGTGCCGACACTGACTTTGGTGGCACTACCGTTCCCACAACTGGTCGTACATCTGGTATTCAGCTTTTCGCTCATTTCGTATTCTGTGAACAAATGAAATGATTTAGAAATTGATACAAAAAATTAATTTCTGTTTTTGTCGGGTAAACCCTTTTTCATAATAAAGCCTTTGCTTTTGTTTTCAAAGACTAGACCACAGTTTTTGTGAATTAAAGTCTTATGGAGACGAGTGGTTCACCAGTTTTTGGAGGATTAAAGCTTTAAGAAATGATGAATACATGTGAAGGGCTGCAAAATAGTCGATAAACTTATACTTGGAAAACGCGATACCTTTTGTACGATTTCCAGAGAAACCAAAATATTTCAATAAAAATAAAAGAGATTTCAATTTTGGGTATAATATTAATTTGTTCTAGGCGATTATCTATTGAACCAATTCTTGGTATTAATAATAATCGTTGAAAAATTTGCTTCACTTAATAATAATATTAAAGACTTTGGTATCGATTTTGTAATTATTTAAACATCTGATCCCTCGATAGAGAACATAATTATTGAGTTATTCTTTACTTTCATTTCCTGAAATCTAAGCAAATATTTCATTTCTTACGAAATATATTCAGCGCCCCTATTACTTTGATTAATTAATTTATTTGGTTTATTCAGTTTAATAACATAATAATTAATTAATTTCTTGTGATGAGGGTTAACTCTAATTGTATGTATGGCATAATTTATGAGTACATTAGTCCTTAAAACGTGCACTTCATATCTCTCATAGCATAGCACTGAATGAATTTTATTAACATGAAAAAATCTTATGTTATATTAATTCTGTATATTATTATTATTATTAGTTGTTGTGCTTTACTAAATTTTTATCTTTATTTTTGTTTTGATATTAAATCTCAAAATTATTGATACTTTTTCACATTATAAGATTTAATATACAAGTGCTATAGAAGAATATATTAATAATTTGTATAGTATATTGTATTATTGTGTTATTGAAACTTTAAATAAAAAATAATATATTGTTTAGGGAAAATATATTGAAGTCATATGCAGTAAATTGTAATAAACAAAAGTATTTCTATTAATATAACCATTAATTATAAAATCCGAAATTTTACAAAAATAAAAAATATAATTTTTTATGTTTTAAATTTGATTTTTTGTGCAAAAATAGTGATAAGCCCTAAAACATGTTTGAGCGCACATTTAGTATAGTTTTAGGTGAACACATAAAATATTGTTCTTTAGTTTTAGATTTATTTTTTTGTCTCATTTATCAATCTTACGAATAAAAGACTAACAAAATTGTTTGATATATTCTATAATGATATATAGATTGTAAAGCTATATGTGTTTTCGTATAAATTTTCATTCATTTCATTGTAATTTTGTCGAAAAAACTAAAAAAATAATGAATCACTGAATGGAGTGAAAAAATAGCGAGACTTTAGCGTTTGAAATGAAAGAATATATGAAAAGTCAGAGAAAATGAAACAAAAGTAAAGCAAAGAATCGGAGATGAGATGAGAAAAAGAAATTCAAAACTTGTCGCCTCTTTTATATTGAATTTATTTAGCCGACAATTAATTAATGTTTTCGTGTCGTGTGTGTAATATGTAGTGAAATATTGACGAAATCAAAACAATGAATACCATCGGACTGTGTGGCCGACTCGACCCGTATGGATGAGGTGGTGGCCAGTGTGGCGGTGGCCGTCATCTGAGTGTTGTTTCTAACGGTTCCGTATTTATTCTGAGGCATCATGGACTGCCTGACATTTTTCTCGGGATGCAGTATTATGATGTAGACCTTGGGTGTGAACAGACATAGCAGGGTGACCGTTGCGCTCAACGATATGGACACAGACATTGTGGTCAGATTGAGAGCGATGTGATTGCTCTGAGAGCTGGTGAAGTAAATGGGAACGAATGCCAACCATATTATACATGTCGTATACATCGTGAACCCAATGTATTTCGACTCATTGAAAGCTTCGGGTATTTTGCGGGTCAACACCGCGTACACCGTACACACCACTGCACAGCACCGGGAGATAGTTAAATATCATTAGTCATTCATATAGAATATTTTCATACATTTCATTCAATTGCTATATCACTAAATAATTATGTGTGATTTATAGCTAGCAAGTTACATAATTTTAGTATAATTATAGTATTTTTATTAGTTGGATTAAATATTAAATTTAGATTTAAGTTCAATTCAACACAAACAGTGGTCGCATTGAATTATTTATTATTTAACTAGTATACTATCTTTGAATTAAATATTTTTTCTTTACATGCAATATAAGACTAATGTGTACCTTATGTAATAATAAATTTGTATTATATTCAACGTATAATATATCTAATATATAATTCTCTCTTATTTTTGTTCAAGTCTTGAGTTTCGCAACAAAATAAAGAATGACTTATCTATGGATAAGAATATTGAGTGAAATCAACTCAAACGTAACAGGGATGAGGAAATGGACACATTTCTACTATAAGATGAAGATTTAGTCAAATATTTGTCTCTTTAGGAGTTTAAGGACTGAACGTTACATGAGATTGAGAGTCAATGTTCTCTTATTTGTTAATCGAAACACTTTTTCTGTTTACGATATAGTGGTTAAAGACATGCACTTTAAAGAAAACATTAATTCAAATAAATACAACATGCAATTTGTTGGACTTTTTGCGAGAATACCAGAATCTATTTGAACAAATCTGGAATTCAATGAGCCCTCCCATACACTTGTTTAGTCACCCCTTGCCAATATCCCTGTCTCGACATTTATAATATAAATAGAAAGGCTTTTCGCAATTTAGCTGTTCTTTCTATTCACTGTATTGAGTAATGTTTGTCCAAATCTATTGTGAAGTCCTGTACATCAACTCTAACAGTAACTGAGCTCTTGTGAGGACTGGATGTTTATGAATGAATAGAGAAGTGGTTAAAGTCTTAGGCATGAAGTCTTACCAATAAGAAAGATGGGGTAAAGGAATGCAACAAAATATCCGGCATTAATAGACGCCTCGCAAACCAAATGGTTGTCCTCTCGGGTGGGATAAAAGTGAATGGCTTTTGGCGGAGAGAAGGCTAACCACACGACAACTATGAAGATCTGAATGATTGAGAGTCCGCCGCATATGAGGAGCTGTGACTTAGGGCTTATAAAACTGGGTCTTCGGGCCGACTGTTTGCCCGCTTTGAAGATTCTGGAGATTCGGTTGGTTTTGGTGAGGATAGCGCTGTAGACGACAGCGAAACAGAAACCAATGCCCGCCTTCTGGGCGCCGCAGAGGAAGTCCGACGGCTTTTGCACCAAAATGAATGTCATTCCATAGCACATGAGTATTCCGGCCAACAGTACGAAACACAACTCCCGTCCCGACGCCCGCACTACTGGCGTGTCGTTGTATTTGATGAACACAAATATGACGAATAACGTGATGAATATACCCGTCCACGAGAACAGTAGGGCACTGATAGACCAAATACTATCCGGTCTCATGTACTCCTCGGGAATGGGCTCGCAATTCATTTTGTCGGCGTCGGGAAGGTATCCGTCCGGACAGTCGATGCATTGGGTTTCGGATATGAGCACTTGATATCGGGTACAGTTCAGGCAGTGAAAGCAACACTTCTCGCCCTCCAAGTAGGCCTTCACTTGTCCCCTCTCACACGGCTGACTGCACACCGACGTCGGGATTATGGGATCACTTAAATGAAACTGAACTTCACTCAGATTGAGCTCAAGATTTCCGTCTTTATATTCGCCGACTTTAATCCAATCAAACTGTCCCTCAGATAACTGTTTGTAGTGTATTATGCGATACCGGGCCGGACCGTCACCATCCGGGTCAGTAAAGTGAAACTCATGGTTATCCAGACCTATGATACAAACACCACGTAAATGATAATCACTTGTTAACTATAATTACTCTAAAATAAATGTTTTTATAAAAATGTATTATTTCCTAAAGAGTTATATTTAACACACTCTCTGACCAGTTATTGTTATTGTTATTTCTTAAAAACAATTCTGAAAATGAAAATAAAATTAATGTTAAACTAAAGTTTTATTGAGTACTTTATGATTATTTTGCAACAACTGCTAAAATCTACGGAATTTCAATCAATTTGATACTTAAATTGATTTTTGAGCTATTATTTCAAAACCAGAGCTATTCATATAAGTGAGTGAATGGGCAAAAATGTTTTTCCATTATTTAATGATAAATATGTTTTGAGGGCTTTATTTCGTTTTAATCTTAAGAAACTTGAGCTCTTGTTATGATCCAAGCCTTCAGTAAATGAGCAAAAAATAATAACAATAATAATAAAATTGAATCTAATTTTGACAGAAGAACTAAATTAATGTTTGTTTAGATTAATTAGATTTGATTGTTAGTGACGGTTACCGGAAGTTTCATTTATACCAAAAGTAAATCTAATTTTGATTTATTTTCCATTATTTATGAGTTATTGTCTTTCGCAACATTTGTTCAGTGATTTAAAAAATAGTATTTTGAACGACAAATATATTTTGAATTTAAAATGTAATACAGATATTGCGTTAATTGAATGAATAGAGAGTTATATTAGATTTGTGTGAGAAATAGCGTTTAGAACATACCTTGGAATGAGACTTCTCTAAGATAGTTGAGAAGTACACTTCCATCGCTGTCTCTCATCTGTGGACAGACACCTCGGTATCCATTGGGACAGAGCTTGTTATGCATATCTCTGAGAGCATAGGCAAAGGCGAGGACAGCGTCACTGACAAATTGCAACTGTCCTTCGGGTTCGTATCCGTTCTCATAACTCATCCTTTCATCTCCGGTGCAAAGACTTAAATATAATGAATAAGAAGTGAATTATTATGTTTGCATCCAAAATGCTATACCATTCCCAGAAATATGTTATTAATGTCTCACAGAAATACAGACATTGAGTGTGTGGCTAATGATAGGTTTGTCTCGAAACCCACTTCACTACAGATGTGTTGTGTGTTAGTGTCAGTGCTGTTCACAATACATACCTCTCGTAGTTTAGGTTATACGGAGTGACCGTACTATCAGGCCATTTGCATTTGAAGTAATGCTCCCAATACTCGATAAACCACGGGTTTCGCCAATTAGTCTTTGGTGTTAGGCTCAGGAAGTAGTCGTCAAAGCCGGGCACTGGACTGGCAGAGGGCTGTACAGACAGAGTGCCCTCCACCTGCAACTCATTTCCGGCAAACACTAACGACCGGGCGCTCCAACCATCGCTCCCAATCCACGTGAACAGTCCGGTGGCGTTATTCCTCTTCACCGCCTTCATCAACATCGCTACCTCTTGGTCTGACCCAAACACTATCACCCCTTTCCGTCCATACAAATACAATTACTTTCACTCATACTTTCAGCATATATCATAAATAATGCCTCAAATCTACCATTTCTTTTTAACTCATAACAGTCACTAATACTATTGTTAATTAATTTACACAATTTTTTCAAGTATTAAATCTGATTAATAAAATGCGAAACGAGTGGCAATGTTATGAATACCTCTTGCGTTTTGTTTGACGACTAGCTTTTTGACGATATTATCGTAAGCACTGTCCAAACCAATGCCCGAGTCTTTAGACAATCTCTCCTTAATAGCGATGCAAATATCGTTTTGGTCTAAAAGCTCTTCCAAATCG